TTTAATAGTGATAAATTCCAGGTACCCAGGTACGGCAGAAATGAGGACCTTAAACATACAGTAATACAGGGTACAAAACACAATCCAATCTGCCCATAGTAGGAAAACAGCATGTCAAGGATTTGGGAATAATGATGTCTGACGACCTAACGTTTAGGGAGCATAACCAAGCAAATATTGCCAGAAAAATTATAGGATGGATTACGAGAACTTTCAAATCCAGGGATCCCATCACAATGGTTGTACTCTTCAAGGCACTTGTGTTGTCCCGTCTTGAGTACTGCTCAGTACTCACTTCCCCCTTCAGAGCAGGAGAGATTGCTGAAATAGAGGGAATACAGAGAACATATACGGCACGCATAGATGCAATAAAGCACCTAAATTATTGGGATCGTCTTAAAGCTCTCCAAATGTACTCACTAGAAAGGAGACGAGAGAGATACCAAATAATACACACATGGAAAATACTGGAGGGACAGGTCCCAAATCTGCACAGTAAAATAACAACGTACTGGAGTGAACGACATGGAAGAAAATGCAGAATAGAACCAGTGAAGAGTAGAGGTGCCATAGGCACAATCAGAGAACACTGTATGAACATCAGAGGTCCGCGGTTGTTCAACATACTCCCAACGAGCATCAGAAATATAGCTGGAACAACCGTGGACATCTTCAAGAGGAAACTAGATAGTTTCCTCCAAGGAGTTCCGGACCAACCGGGCTGTGGTGGGTATGTGGACCTGTGGGCCGCTCCCAGCAACAGCCTGGTGGACCAAACTCTCACAAGTCAAGCCTGGCCTCGGGCTGGGTTTGGGGAGTAGAAGAACTCCCAGAACCCCATCAAGCAGGTATATGTGGGCCTGCGGGCCGCTCCAAGCAACAGCCTGGTGGACCAAACTCTCACAAATCAAGCCTGGCCTCGGGCCGGGCTTGGGCAGTAGAAGAACTCCCAGAACCCCATCAAGCAGGTATATGTGGGCCTGCGGGCCGCTCCAAGCAACAGCCTGGTGGACCAAACTCTCTCAAATCAAGCCTGGCCTCAGGCCGGGTTTGGGGAGTAGAACTCCCAGAACCCCATCAAGCAGGTATCAAGCAGGTATTTTTCCCTCTAGAAGATCTAGAAAGCGTGTGATTAATGTATCGGCTGTGTACTATTGTAGACCAATGATGATAATAAACAGCCTCTCATCTATTATATTGTAATATCCAATATTTAAAATTATTTTAGGTGTTAGCAAAAGAGTTTTGGAGTGTCCATTGTACAGTATCTTTCACACCGATTCTTCACTTCTTCCCAATAAACATATTTCTTTATTTCTCCCATGTACTCACAAATCTTCCACTACTCCAGCACACTAACCACCCACTACTGCCAACAGGTACATACTGATCGCTCACCACGGCCTCTACGATCGTGTCTACCGTCACCACTACATCTACCTCATGATCGCTGTAGTGTGGCTCTTCTCGTTTGGAATGATGATGCCTCCCCTGTTGGGGGTGTGGGGCCGCCTGGGCCTCGATCCCCCCTCCTTCTCCTGCACTATCCTCAAGAAGGATGGCTCCTCACCTAAGAAGTTCCTCTTCCTCTTTGGCTTCCTCCTGCCCATGATAGCCATCGTCGTCTGCTACTCCGCCATATACTACAAGGTGCGTGCAAGATTCCTTACTCAGTACAGTATTGTATCTCACTAATATGCTGCCAACACCAAACTCATATTCGAGTGTGGATTCTATTTTGATCAACATTAAGTCATTCATATATAACTATTTCAGTCTCGTTACCGAGACCCACTTCGTCACAACGCTAGTCTCTAGGAGGAGACACAACACTCAAGGCTGTGTGTTGTGGTGCTAAAGTATGGATCAGTGTGGTGCTAAAGTATGGATCAGTGTGGTGCTAAAGTATAGATCAGTGTGGTATTATAGCATGGATAAGTGTGGTAGCAAAATATGGATCAGTGTGGTGCTAAAGTATGGATCAGTGTGGTGGCAGAGAATGGTATCTTAACTTTTGACTTGTATAAATAAATACTGTACTGTACTTGAAATTTTAACTATACAAATTACGACTGTACTGAACAACAATTTGAGCAAACGGTTATTGAGTGCTTGGTGTGATGTTGCAGGTACGGGAGTCCCGACGCAACCTGGTGGCCCACACCAACAAGGGCGGCTCCCCCTCCACCTTCAACGTGCACATCGCCCGCAAGGAGGACCTCCGCCTCACCAAGATGATGCTCACTATCTTCCTCTGCTTCCTGGTCTCCTTCCTCCCTCTCATGATTGTCAATGTTGCCGACGATGACGTTAGTATTTTATCTCGCAATTATCATATACCACATTAAATCCCTTAATTAAAGTAAACAAATTCACAAGGGCAGTGATAAGGGTTCAAACCTACGTCCGGGATCATCCCTGACACGCCTTAAGTGTTTGGGCATATTATTTGATTAGTTTATAAAACTGTTATCTTGTTTAGATAGTTAATTAACATACAGTATATTTTATTTTTATATTTCATTGGGAAATTAAATTCAGTTAATTTATGCAATTAAAAACTACATGTTAAAATGAACCTGTGAATATGGTAATTATCAGCCATAACACTGTCTAAATTTCTGGTCATTGTGGGTTAAATAAGTCAAGAGGTATATATCCAGAATCCAATATCCAATATCCAGAACTGACAACAGTGATAAGTAATGCTTTTAGAAATGTCAGCCTTACATCCTAGTGTTGTGCAGCGACATGCTGGAAATGTCAGCCTTACATCCTAGTGTTGTACAGCGACACGCTGGAAATGTCAGCCTTACATCCTAGTGTTGTACAGCGACACGCTGGAAATGTCAGCCTTACATCCTAGTGTTGTACACACTGGAAATTAGACAGCTGACCAAGTGTAAAAAGTTTTACCTTAAACTATAGCACAAAGTTGTAAGGCAAGTTCATTATTCCTTGCCTCTCTCATCATTGTCACTTGCCATACTGACACTTCCCCACACCAAAAAGACACTTCCTACATAAACTGCCACTTTCACTGCTGGTCTCTAAACCCACGACATATTCCACACCTGCTGCAACTTTCTACTCTATTCATTTGTTACTCATTTGTTTGCAGCAAATACATAATACTTATACATGTTTGCAGCAAATACATAATACTTATACATGTTTGCAGCAAATACATAATACTTATACATGTTTGCAGCAACAGTCAGCAATGACAGGCAATGCAGGCCAAACCACTGCAGGCTGGCAGCACCTGCCTCTAGTACTGCCAAACTCCCTGCCAGTATCAGATCCATAAAAGGATTTAAGTCAATAATACTGCATTTCTAGAATAATTTATTTATTTATATACAAGAAGTACAATACATTGAGTTTGTGAGAGTAGATTTACTTGATTTACTACCAAATTAAATGTAGTAGGTCTTTTCTATCTTATTTTATCTGGCGAGGGTCTCGGGAGTTCTTCTACTCCCCGAGCCCTGCCTGAGGTCAGGCCCGACTTGTGAGAGTTTGGTCCACCAGGCTGTTGCTTGGAGCGGCCCGCAGGCCCACATACCCACCACAGCTCGGTTGGTCCAGCACTTCTTGCAAGAACTTATCTAATTTGTTCTTGAAGAAGAACCTATGTTTAGTGAGAGTTTGTTGGTTGACATCCATCAGTGGACTTTTCTTAATTTGTTATTTACAATATTCTTTAGTGTGTGCAAGTTGGGGTCTGAATAGATGAAAATATGAATCATGTATTCAGAATACACACACGTGATTTAACAAGTGATATGTGACTATGCCCCACAAGTTACTTATGGTGTTTATGTGACTATGCCCCACAAGTTACTTATGGTGTTTATGTGACTATGCCCCACAAGTTACTTATGGTGTTCCATGTTGCCAATGTTGGCAACTGTCGACAATATTTTCAATAAGTAATAGTAATGTCTTCTCACTTCTCACAGACATAATAATAGGATAAAAATGCACACACTTGTGTATGTGTGAAATTTATGTAAGGAATTTTACACTAAATCTTTTGCACTCTCCTGAGTGCTTAGTCAAGGACTGAGTGTGTTTAGGAGACTTACATCTCAACGTCTAGACATTGAGGTTAGTCATTGAGTCTTCCTAGACCATTCTCAAGTCGATTGTGAGAAATCAATCAATTGTCACAATCGACTTGAGAATGATCCAGGGCGGACCGAAACGTCGTCGTCCCTTCACTTTCTAGTGTGTGGTCTGGTCAACACACTTCAGCCACGTTAACGCAGGTGATGAGTCACAATAGTCATTGAGATTTAAGTCTCATCCCAACCACACACTCAGACCTTGACAAAGCACTCTGAAGAGTGCAAAGTGCAAGAGACTTTGTGTAAATTCTTTACATAAATTTCACGAATACACAAGTGTGTATTATACGGGTCGTGTGTGTGTGCGTATTTTATGTTACAGTATATTAAGCCTTAAACATAGAAATAACTGTCTATTTCAGCCTTATTATTGAGCCTCTCTTCAGCACAATAATGTATATACAGTATATGTATAAAGTACACATATGTATATGGGTGGATTAAATATTGATTGTTTTCAAAGCACAATGTTTGGATCATTGTTTGGCAAGTTTTGATTTATCCAGAAATTAACTTTTTTAATAAGCTTCTTATATATTGTAAATATCACTGTTGAGAAAACCTTTGGAGCTGGATGGCAGCATCGAACCGACATCTTGGTTCCATCCCACTGTCCTGGTCCGAAGATTTTCTCAGATATATAACATTATTGTGGCATCATTGTGTGTCGTTGCTGATATAAACTATGTGCTTATTTTTTCTCCAGGTGCTCGTGCCATCCCTGCATGTGTTGGCATCCGTGCTAGCCTGGGCCTCGGCTGTAGTCAATCCCTTCGTCTATGCTGTCACGAACCGGCAGTATCGCTCGGCCTATCGCAAGTTATTTTGTTGCCTTCGGAGTAAGCCAGGCAGAGCTTCCAACTCGCACTCGAAGAGCAACTCCTCACGGACCTTTGTCACCGAGTTCCAATACCACGCCTCCACTGGTCAGGTCACCAGTCCGGTTCTTGCTAACTCCACACCAGACGCTTGAGCTAAGGTCGCAATCCTTAAGCTCAAACTCCTCCTCCTTCATCCATCCTAACCCTGGGTTACCTATCCTCACCTACCCTACCACCCATGCTTGTCCTGAGTCAATTCTCCTCAAATCTTTCACCACTCAAGCTACCCACGAGTCACCTCTCCTCACCTCAACTCTCCCTGAGTCAGTGTCTCCCACCATACCAGCCACCCCACAGTCACAAGGTGCATCCTCATCCAGTATATTCTTTATGCCAGATAACACGTCACTTCCCTCTTCCACAGTCACCAAACGAAAACAGAAAGCTAGATCACCTTCTCCCTCCTCCACCTCCTCAACAGATTCCTCCTCCTCCTCCACGATATTCCCCCAAATCCTTCCCCCCGAGCACAGGCTGTCAGCCTCACTCTACATAACATTTGCAAAGATTGAAATCACACCAAGAAATTCATCTTTTCTAGACCCGCACCCTTCAGGAGAGTCCAGGTCCCCAACCCCACCCTCTCCGTCCTGACTAAACACCCCTTAGGTAAGTCCAGGTCCCCAACCCACACCCCTCAGGTGTGTTCACGTTCCTTCCCTACCCATAGCACGCCTTCCACTTTGACCAGCCCTCCATCCCCAGCCCCTCCTAATGAAGTGATTATAATTTACCATTGGCTTGCTGCAGTAACATGTTAAACCTCTCCTATACTGGAGACTAACAGATAATTCCAGGTTGTTATAGAACCTGTACAAATAAATATGCTGTACGATAAACAATATAGGTCGTTGGTGAAGGTTTAGGAGAGCTGATACACATAGGGACCCCAGAGCTGTCCAAGTGCTGGTGTGTGAGGACCCCAGACTGGTGGTGGTGTGAGGACCCCCTGAGTGGTAGGTGTGTGAGGACCCCAGACTGGTGGTGGTGTGAGGACCCCCTGAGTGGTAGGTGTGTGAGGACCCAGACTGGTGGTGGTGTGAGGACCCCCTGAGTGGTAGGTGTGTGAGGACCCCAGACTGGTGGTGGTGTGAGGACCCCCTGAGTGGTAGGTGTGTGAGGACCCCAGACTGGTGGTGGTGTGAGGACCCCCTGAGTGGTAGGTGTGTGAGGACCCCAGACTGGTGGTGGTGTGAGGACCCCCTGAGTGGTAGGCGTGTGAGGACCCCAGACTGGTGGTGGTGTGAGGACCCCCTGAGTGGTAGGTGTGTGAGGACCCCAGACTGGTGGTGGTGTGAGGACCCCCTGAGTGGTAGGTGTGTGAGGACCCCAGACTGGTGGTGGTGTGAGGACCCCCTGAGTGGTAGGTGTGTGAGGACCCCAGACTGGTGGTGGTGTGAGGACCCCCTGAGTGGTAGGTGTGTGAGGACCCCAGACTGGTGGTGGTGTGAGGACCCCCTGAGTGGTAGGCGTGTGAGGACCCCAGACTGGTGGTGGTGTGAGGACCCCCTGAGTGGTAGGTGTGTGAGGACCCCAGACTGGTGGTGGTGTGAGGACCCCCTGAGTGGTAGGTGTGTGAGGACCCCAGACTGGTGGTGGTGTGAGGACCCCCTGAGTGGTAGGCGTGTGAGGACCCCAGACTGGTGGTGGTGTGAGGACCCCCTGAGTGGTAGGTGTGTGAGGACCCCAGACTGGTGGTGGTGTGAGGACCCCCTGAGTGGTAGGTGTGTGAGGACCCCCTGAGTGGTAGGTGTGTGAGGACCCCAGACTGGTGGTGGTGTGAGGACCCCCTGAGTGGTAGGTGTGTGAGGACCCCCTGAGTGGTAGGTGTGTGAGGACCCCAGACTGGTGGTGGTGTGAGGACCCCCTGAGTGGTAGGTGTGTGAGGACCCCCTGAGTGGTAGGTGTGTGAGGACCCCAGACTGGTGGTGGTGTGAGGACCCCCTGAGTGGTAGGTGTGTGAGGACCCCCTGAGTGGTAGGTGTGTGAGGACCCCAGACTGGTGGTGGTGTGAGGACCCCCTGAGTGGTAGGTGTGTGAGGACCCCAGACTGGTGGTGGTGTGAGGACCCCAGACTGGTGGTGGTGTGAGGACCCCCTGAGTGGTAGGTGTGTGAGGACCCCCTGAGTGGTAGGTGTGTGAGGACCCCAGACTGGTGGTGGTGTGAGGACCCCCTGAGTGGTAGGTGTGTGAGGACCCCCTGAGTGGTAGGTGTGTGAGGACCCCCTGAGTGGTAGGTGTGTGAGGACCCCCTGAGTGGTAGGTGTGTGAGGACCCCCTGAGTGGTAGGTGTGTGAGGACCCCCTGAGTGGTAGGTGTGTGAGGACCCCAGACTGGTGGACTGTAGATGTTAGTCAAAGTTTTCTGCTGACTATCTTGTCTCCCCTTTTACCTCAGCAAAACACTGCACCAGCTGACCGCTGAAGGGATTTTGTTGGTCTAAAGTACAGCAGTTGTCCCTCACCAGTCAGCCCACACCACCCGTCCCTCACCAGTCAGCCCACACCACCCGTCCCTCACCAGGCAGCCCACACCACCCATCCCTCCCTGGCAGCCCACACCACCCGTCCCTCACCAGGCAGCCCACACCACCCATCCCTCACCAGGCAGCCCACACCACCCATCCCTCACCAGGCAGCCCACACCACCCATCCCTCATCAGGCAGCCCACACCACCCGTCCCTCACCAGGCAGCCCACACCACCCGTCCCTCACCAGGCAGCCCACACCACCCGTCCCTCACCTGGCAGCCCACACCACCCGTCCCTCACCTGGCAGCCAACACCACCCATCCCTCACCAGGCAGCCCACACCACCCGTCCCTCACCAGGCAGCCCACACCACCCGTCCCTCACCAGGCAGCCCACACCACCCGTCCCTCACCTGGCAGCCAACACCACCCATCCCTCACCAGGCAGCCCACACCACCCATCCCTCACCAGGCAGCCCACACCACCCGTCCCTCACCAGGCAGCCCACACCACCCGTCCCTCACCAGGCAGCCCACACCACCCGTCCCTCACCAGGCAGCCCACACCACCCGTCCCTCACCAGGCAGCCCACACCACCCGTCCCTCACCTGGCAGCCAACACCACCCTTCCCTCACCAGGCAGCCCACACCACCCGTCCCTCACCAGGCAGCCCACACCACCCGTCCCTCACCAGGCAGCCCACACCACCCGTCCCTCACCAGGCAGCCCACACCACCTGTCCCTCACCAGGCAGCCCACACCACCCGTCCCTCACCTGGCAGCCCACACCACCCGTCCCTCACCAGGCAGCCCACACCACCCGTCCCTCACCAGGCAGCCCACACCACCCGTCCCTCACCAGGCAGCCCACACCACCCGTCCCTCACCTGGCAGCCCACACCACCCGTCCCTCACCTGGCAGCCCACACCACCCGTCCCTCACCAGGCAGCCCACACCACCCGTCCCTCACCAGGCAGCCCACACCACCCGTCCCTCACCAGGCAGCCCACACCACCCGTCCCTCACCAGGCAGCCCACACCACCCATCCCTCACCAGGCAGCCCACACCACCCGTCCCTCACCAGGCAGCCCACACCACCCGTCCCTCACCAGGCAGCCCACACCACCCGTCCCTCACCCAGCAGCCCACACCACCCGTCCCTCACCTGGCAGCCCACACCACCCGTCCCTCACCAGGCAGCCCACACCACCCGTCCCTCACCAGGCAGCCCACACCACCCGTCCCTCACCAGGCAGCCCACACCACCCATCCCTCACCAGGCAGCCCACACCACCCATCCCTCACCCAGCAGCCCACACCACCCGTCCCTCACCAGGCAGCCCACACCACCCGTCCCTCACCAGGCAGCCCACACCACCCGTCCCTCACCAGGCAGCCCACACCACCCGTCCCTCACCAGGCAGCCCACACCACCCGTCCCTCACCAGGCAGCCCACACCACCCGTCCCTCACCAGGCAGCCCACACCACTCGTCCCTCACCAGGCAGCCCACACCACCCATCCCTCACCCAGCAGCCCACACCACCTGTCCCTCACCAGGCAGCCCACACCACCCATCCCTCACCCAGCAGCCCACACCACCCGTCCCTCACCAGGCAGCCCACACCACCCGTCCCTCACCAGGCAGCCCACACCACCCGTCCCTCACCCAGCAGCCCACACCACCCGTCCCTCACCTGGCAGCCCACACCACCCGTCCCTCACCAGGCAGCCCACACCACCCGTCCCTCACCAGGCAGCCCACACCACCCGTCCCTCACCAGGCAGCCCACACCACCCATCCCTCACCCAGCAGCCCACACCACCCGTCCCTCACCAGGCAGCCCACACCACCCGTCCCTCACCAGGCAGCCCACACCACCCGTCCCTCACCAGGCAGCCCACACCACCCATCCCTCACCCAGCAGCCCACACCACCTGTCCCTCACCAGGCAGCCCACACCACCCATCCCTCACCCAGCAGCCCACACCACCTGTCCCTCACCTGGCAGCCCACATTACCCGTCCCTCACCAGGCAGCCCACACCACCCGTCCCTCACCTGGCAGCCCACACCACCCGTCCCTCACCAGGCAGCCCACACCACCCGTCCCTCACCAGGCAGCCCACACCACCCGTCCCTCACCCGGCAGCCCACACCACCCGTCCCTCACCCAGCAGCCCACACCACCTGTCCCTCACCTGGCAGCCCACACTACCCGTCCCTCACCAGGCAGCCCACACCACCCGTCCCTCACCAGGCAGCCCACACCACCCGTCCCTCACCAGGCAGCCCACACCACCCGTCCCTCACCCGGCAGCCCACACCACCTGTCCCTCACCTGGCAGCCCACACTACCCGTCCCTCACCAGGCAGCCCACACCACCCATCCCTCACCCAGCAGCCCACACCACCTGTCCCTCACCCAGCAGCCCACACCACCTGTCCCTCACCAGGCAGCCCACACCACCCATCCCTCACCCAGCAGCCCACACCACCTGTCCCTCACCAGGCAGCCCACACCACCCGTCCCTCACCAGGCAGCCCACACCACCCGTCCCTCACCAGGCAGCCCACACCACCCGTCCCTCACCAGGCAGCCCACACCACCCGTCCCTCACCAGGCAGCCCACACCACCCGTCCCTCACTCACATCTCATTACTCAACTAGGTGAATTTCTATATTTTCACGAGTGATTGTGCAAGTCGGAGAAAATAATATTTATAAAAAAATTGAGACGATTCAAATATTATGTAATAATTACACATTGCCAGATATTCATCTTAAAATGTTAATCATATACACAGTAACAGTACCAATAATCAGAAAAAAGTGTTCAGTCTGAATAAGAGAAGTGCTCCATGTTGGGGGTAATGAGAAGTGCTCCATAATGGGTGTATGAGAAGTGCTCCATAATGGGTGTATGAGAAGTGCTCCATAATGGGTGTATGAGAAGTGCTCCATAATGGGTGTATGAGAACTCTGACGGGTGTATGAGAAGTGCTCCACGACGGGTGTATGAGAAGTGCTCCATAATGGGTGTATGAGAACTCTGACGGGTGTATGAGAAGTGCTCCACGACAGGTGTATGAGAAGTGCTCCACGACGGGTGTATGAGAAGTGCTCCATAATGGGTGTATGAGAACTACGACGGGAGTTCAAGATTTTGTACAAAGTCAGAAAGACAAGACGGAATCTCAACATATTTATAATTTTGCCAACATCGGCTAAGAAAACATGTGTGTATGGCAGCTACTGTTAGTGTTATAATTTGCTGTAGATAGACATTACTTTGTAACTTGTAGAATATATTATTAGTACACAATTGTGAGTGAAGTATTACATTTCTCAAACTGGTTGATCTGTCTCATAATGTTAAGATTTTAATATACTGTAATGATATATATATGTCCCTTATTGCCACTTTTAGCTCCTTTAAAAGTGAATCGTATCTAAAGCATCTTGTAAATTTGTATTTTTCTATATAGAAAAAATTCCAGCGTTCATCTAGCAAATGTACAAAGGCGCCGGGTGCGTGTTAGTCTTAAGTTCACAGTATTGTGGAGACATT